GACCTGGCCTCCTTTCCACGATGGGAGAGGACGAGAAGGAGGAACGGGAAAACAAACATGAGGAGGAATCGGAGGAGGACGATAATGATCAGGAGCATTGGGGGCGGGGTGGGGGGTGAAGGCGCAGGTCTCTGGAGTTTTCTGGACAGCTCCGCAGGGGGGGGACGAGGAGGGGGAGGAGGAGGAGGAGGAGGAGGAGGAGGAGGAGGAGAAGGAATACGATACTACTGAGGACGAGGAGGGGGCAGCAGGAAGGTGGAGGAGGACCCTGGCCAAGCCGCTGCTGCTGGCGATACCGAGAATTGGCAAGAAAGTTCCGCCGTAATTCATTCACGACGGGATGAGGTCTCGCCCCCCCCTCCCTCCTCCACCCCCCTCTGACCAGCTCGGTCGGCACTTGGTTGCCTTCCTCCTTCCCTCCTCTTCGTCTCTGCGTCTCGGAAGGTCAAGGGAGAGCCTGACCCAGAGGCAATGTAATATTGTTGGGGGGTTGTGTTGTCGGCGGGCCCTGCATGAGGAGGAGGAGGAGGAGGAGGAGGAGGAGGAGGAGTAAAGGAGGAGGAGGAGGAGGAGGAGGAGGAGGAGGAGGAGAGGTAGGAGGAGGAGAGGGAGGAGGAGAGGAGACGGAGGCAGGCGGCCAGCCCCGGCCGCGTGGCCGCCGCAGGCGCGCGTCGCGGCCGCGGCGGCCTGCGGGGGCCTCGGCGGGCCCGCGCGCGCTTCGCCGGACACGGACGGGCGCGCGCGGTGGCCGGCGGGGAGCGGGGGGGGGGGCAGGAGGTGGGATGGTGAGGACGGGGGGGGGGATTCTTAGGGGCCACATGCCGACCCTACCCCTACCCCCCACGATTTCTGAAGGGGGGGTGGGGTTCACTTCGTTCGGGAGCTCACGAGCGAAGTGAACCCCACCCTCCCCCTTAAAAATCGTAGTGGGTAGGGGTAGGGTTCGCATGTGGCCCCCTAATTCTGGCCATTGGGAGCGCGGAGGCGGGGGATGAGAGGGGTGGTGGAGTACGAGAGGGGGGGTCGGATGATGATTGTGATGATGATGATGCTGATGGTGCTGATGATGTTGATGATGATGATGATGATGATGATGATGATGGTGATGGTGATGGTGATGGTGATGTTGTTGTTGATGATGATGATGCTGCTGTTGCTGATGAGGATTATGCTTTTGGTGATGATGGTGATGCTGATGACGATGATGATGATGATGCTGATGCTGCTGATGACGATGCTGTGATGATGGTCATGATGACGATGATGCTGATCATGGTGATGGTGATGATGCTGATGATGTGTTGTTGAGCTTTCACTACTGAGGAAGAAATATTGTTCACCTCCCCCATGGCACATGGTGTTTTTGTTCAATTGAAGTGCCCTCTCCGGGGCTCGCACCCCGATTTTTCTCAGGAACAGTTTTGTGTCTCAGAGTTGTTTGTTGGCCCCCGGTTTATAACAACAGCGGCTCCTGCCTGATACTTCCTCACAATGTATTCCCAAATCGTGCTCGCGCGGGACGTCCTCACAATGTATATTGAAATAGCGCTCTCGCGTGGGACGTCCTCGCAATTTAGTCAGACGCCGCGCCCTCAACACACAGGAATCACGCTCTCGCTGCGGATTTCTGACGTTGTATTTGGGAATCGCGCTATCGCTCGAGACTTCCGTGCGATTCTTGCAGAACGCACGCTTCAGCATCCCGCCTGCTCGACCTGGCAGCCTAGGCCCGCCTTCCCGACCCGCCCGCTAGGGTCTGCCCACACGATCTGCCCGTCTGGTTCTGCCACGTGCTTTTTGCTGCTAGCCCCCCTCCTGATCATTGCGTTTTATTCGTTTCCCTCCTCCCTCCATGCGTCCCCTCTGCCCCTGCTTCAGGGGCTGCACCGAGTACACGCGGCGGGTCAGGAAGATATACCCCCAAGGGGGTCCGATCGAAGACGAAGAGGGCGAGTCTCGCGGGTTTGGGATATACCCGTTGAATGCCATGCGACCAGGTAAGAGCGAACAGTGTTTGAATGATTTGCGATGTTTGATATTATTGTTGATCCCCCCTCCCGGGCACATTGTGTTTTTCAAGTAAAGTGGTTGTACCGGGGCTCCCACCTTGCCTTTTTTACACGAGGGGCAGACTTGGGTCTCAGAGTTGTGTTGTTGGCCCCCGGTTTATAACAACAGCGGCTCCCGCTTGATACTTCCGCACAATGTATTCCCGAATCGCGCTCTCGTGCGGGACCTCCTCACAATGTATGTAGAAATCGCGCTCTCGCGTGGGTCTTCCTCGCAATTTAGTCAGACGCCGCGCCCTCGACACTCAGTTACACGCTCTCGCTGTGAATTTCTGACAGTTCACTTCGGGACGCACACTTCAGCAACCCGCCTGCTCGACCTGGCCGCCTGGCCCGCCTTCCCGACCCGCTTTTTAGGATCTACCCACCCGATCTGCCCGTCTGGTTCTGCCGCGTTTTCTGCTCCTAGTCCCCCTCCTGGTACTTCCTTTCGTGCTCCATCCTCCTCCCTTCCCATTGTCCCTTCTTTCCATCCGTCCTCTCTTCCCCTGCCTTATGTAGGGGCTGCGCGAAACACACGTTGCAGGTAAGGGAGATATACCCCCATGGTGGTACGATCGAAGGCGAAGAGGGCGGGTCTCGAGGGTTTGGGATATACGTTTTGAGTGGCACGTGAGCAGATAAGAGCGAACAGTCTTAACATGACTGTTATTGTTGTTGTGGTTGTCGCTATGGTTGTTGAGTTTTCGCTCCTAGAGAATAAGTGCTGTTGATCCCCCCCTCTCCGGCAACCTTTATATGTTTCAAGGACAGTGCTTCTTCCAGGGCTCGCACCCTGTTTTTTTTCAAGGGAAGGGAGGTGTCACCAAACTGTGCCCTTGGCCCCCGGTTTAGAACAACAGCGGCTCCCGCCGCCTGATACTTCCGCACAGTTTATTCCCAAGCCGCGCTCCTCACAATTTACACAGAAATCGTTCTCTTGCGCAGGACTTCCTCGCATTTGATGCGGACGCTGTGTCCTCGACACTCAGGCATCACGCTCTCGCTGTGGATGTCCTCACGGTTTATTTGGGAATCGCGCGGTCGCTCGCCATGTCTTCGCGATTCGTGCAGAAGGCACGCTTCAGCAACCCGCCTGCTCGACCTGGCCGCCTGGGCCCGCCTTCCGATCCGCCCGTCAGGGTCTACCCGCCTGATCTGTCCCCGCCCGATTTGCCCGTCTGGTTCTGCCACGTGCTTTCTGCTCCTAGACCCTCTCCTGCTACCTGGCCTCTCTCTCGTGCTCCATCCTCCTCCTCCCCCCTTGTCCCTTCCTTCCATCCGTCCTCTATTCTCCTGCCTCAGGGGCTGCACGAAATGCACATTCTACTTACGGTGGGGGCGTTCGTTAAGGAACGTACCCAAGAGGCTTCAGACTCTGGAGGGTTCCTTATCTGATGAGGGCGGCTGTGATATCCATGGCCAGTTCACGATTGGAATTCCGCCAGCTTCCAGACCCTGGCTTCCTTAACCCAACGATTCTGTATCCAATGCCCTCACCGTAAGAATGGTAGATACCCCCAAGGGGGTACGATCACAGGCACTCTGGGTTGCGACTGTTTGGGGGCGCGCGGGAGGCCGTTACAGGTGAAGGGTCGCGGGAGCCGTGATGAAATGAGGATGATGAGGGTTGTTGTGTTGCAGCGATAATGTGGATGGCGGTGGTGACGAAGATGATGTTGTCGATGGTCGTGGGGATGGTGTTAATGACGATGATGATTGTGGTGATGATGCTGATGATGATGCGGTTGACGATGATGCTCATTATTTCGATGCTGTTTTCGGCGTTGAAGCTGATCTTGATGATATTGATGATGGTCGTTGTGTTGGTGTTGATGATGGTGATGCTGATCGGACTTACAAGCGGGAGGATGGCGGTGGCGATGGCCTTGACTAGGGGGTATTTGGTCGGGATCTACCAGGAGCCCGCAGGAATCCTTAGCGAGGATCCCCTAGCGGGGAATCCTTCGTACATAATCCATCGTAGGGAGCCCTGGGTAATGAATCTTTGCAAGGGACCCCCCTTGGTAGGGAATCCTGGGCAGGTTATTCTTAACAAGGTGCCCCCATTTGGGAATCCCCATTCGGGATCCTTAGTCCAGGATTCTTAGTACGGGGTCATGAAGCAGGGAATCGTACGTAGGGGGTCCTCCATATGGAATGCGCGTTGAGGAATCATTCTTAGATTGCCCTTAATTGGGAATCTTCAGCAGGGGTTCCCGAGTACTTAAGGGATCCCGAGGGATCCTTCTTAAGACAACCTTCGCACGTAATCCTCAGTAAGGATGTACCAATATGGAGGCCTTAAGAAGGAATCCTGGGTATGGGGATCGTTCGTGCATGGGGTATGTACAGGGCGTTCTCATTAAATGGCCCGGAATCCTTGCTAGAGCATTCTTAATCCGGTATCTTTAGCAGGGGATCCTAAGTACGGAGTGCTTGGCAGAGGTTCCTTATTACGGAGTCCAGAATAGGGAATCCTGAATACGGAATCTTCTTCGAGATCTTTCTGTCACATGGGTTGCCTTCAGTAGGGGCTCCTCAGTAAACCATGTTATTTTTCTGAAAGGAAGGAGTCCTCAGTCAGGAGTGCTGAGTTGGGAATCCTTAGTGGGGAATCCTTGCTCGGGAACCCAAGGGATTTTCAGCCAGCGACCGCTCGTAGGATCTCATTAACACGGAACCCTTCGCAGGGATTTTTCAGTAAGGGGTTTTATGTGGAGAACCTTTCGTGAGGCATGCTTTTGGTTTTGCAAGGGATCCTTCGTAAGACGTCCTGAGTAAGGCATCGTTCGTACGGAAGTCTCAGTTGGGGATCCGTACATCTTGAGACATCCTTAGTCGGGGGTCCTGCGTGCGGATCGCTTAGAAGAGGATCCTAAGTTCGGAATTCTTAGTCTGGGTTCGTGGGTATGGAATGGCCAGTCAAGGATCAGCAGTAGTGGGCCCTTA